TATCCCTTTTCCATGCTTTGATTGAATTCAAATCCCAAGTATCAAAGGAGGAACAAATTTACCCTTGCAAGTCTAAAGGTTAGATAACATTACCTTTTTTTTTTTCTTGGGTCATGTATAGCAATAACTATGTGAACTAGCACTTGTACTAATCCACTGGCCTGTTAATTTATTATGTGTTTGGTAATACATATTATTTTTAAAAAATATTATTTAATTAAAAATATATTAAAAAAATATTTTTTTAAAAATATTTTGTTCAACATTAAAAAAAATAAAAAAAATATTAATTTAATATATTTTTAAATAAAAAAAATTATAACACTAAAATAATATGTCATGTTGATCAATAAAAATTTTTAGGATCTAGTTGGCTAAACCAAGCCCAACTAACATGCAATTGCTGCCTCAAACCAGAATTCTTTCTTGACAAGCAGGCAACCCAGGTATTGTTTGTGATCCAATAGTCCAACACAATCTTCCTAAGACACTCCTAGTACCAAACCAATAGGTTTCTTGTTGGCTTCAAATTAAAACCCTCACAAGTTACCTCAAGCCCTCAACCTCTTCCTCCCATAATTTATATATATAAACAAACATAAAAAACACGCTCTTTTAAAACAAATACACCGAATCATTCTCTCTTTGATATCGACCCCTTTAAGGTTCTTGTTTTCTTTTCTTAAGCTTCACTTAGATCGATCAATCAAACCTCAAGCCACCTTCAATTAATCTGTCTTTTTTTTCCCTGTTAGGTGTGTTGTAAAGTTTGAAACTTTATCTGGGTTCATTGTTTTTGATACAAGATTGAAACTTTTTATTGTTTTTGATAAAAAGATTGAAACTTTTCTGTGGGTTTTAGTGAAAGAGAGGATTTTAATGATGTTTTGGTGTTTGAAATTTGCAGTGAATTATAAAAGTTCCAGTCTTGATACTACCACCATGGCTAAAAGTTCATTCAAGCTTGATCATGCTTTGGGTTAGGTTTTTTTTTTTTGTGAATTTCATCGATTGTTTTGCTTATTTTTTGATTGAATTGTTAAGACCCATATTTTTGTTTTGATCAATTTTATTGAATATATATTTTGGTGGTTTGAAATTCGTGTTTTTATGAGTTTTGTGAGGAGTTGTGGAAGATATTGCTATTTAGAATTATTGCAATTGTGAAGGGGAAAAAAAAGCTTGATCATCTTATTTTTAGTAATTTGCTCTTTATGTTTTGAATTGTGAATAATTTGGGATGTTTGACATTCAAGTTACTGCTTTGATGATCTTGTTTGCTTGGTCATGCAGTGATTTCTTTGAATTGTGAATAATTTGGCATGTTTGACATTCAAGTTACTGTTTTGATGATCTTGTTTGCTTGGTCATGCTGCGATTTCTTATTAGGTAGGTATTTAGTTTGATATATGCAGATAAGATAGGCTTATTTTTGGAAAGAGATTCTGGGGCTTAATCTGGTTTTGTCTTAGGTGACATTTCAGTGTGATGTATAAAAGATTATTTATTTTCATAATGAAACTGTTGGACTTAATAAAGTTTGATATGAAGAGCTCAGATGTCTGTTTATTTTGGTACGAGACTCATATGAGTTTGCAATGTGCTAATTATGTCAGGGAATTTCGCTAATTTCATTGTTTGGTGTAGTTAGCACTTCCCAAGTATTCTGTCTTTTGTCTCATCTATGCTTTTCTTTGATGACATGGGAGAAATCAACTATATAATGAGATTTGAATTTTGTGACTGTGATTGTAATCAATTGGTTGGATTTCCTAAAAACAACAAAATGAATATTACCTTTTCTTTTTCCTTCTTGTTAACATGTAGATCCTATATAAAATCATCTACCTTGCATCTAAAATTTGGTCTTACTTCAGAAAGGAGGCAAGCAGAAGCTTCTCGCATCAGAGAGAAACATCCTGATAGAGTACCTGTAAGAATATCATCTGGCTATGAAGATTCTTTATATTCAAGTAATTCTGGCAATACATTCCCTTCTAACCAGGCATGTGGTGCGCTGTGCAGGTGATTGTGGAAAAGGCTGGGAGGAGTGATGTCCCTGACATTGATAAGAAGAAGTTAGCTCCATATTCTTTTATATTCTGTTCAGTTTCATATGTTCTTACAAATTTAAGTTGCAGAACAATGATATCTTACTTTAAGGAGCTCCTATTAGATATTAGTTAACCACCACGATCTTTTTAGACATTACTTTGTTCTTTTTCAAAATATTTTGTTGGCTATTTGTTTGTCATAATTTGTTATTATGACTTTTTGAAATTTCTGCTAAAGACCTCCCAGGATCCATCTTGGAAAAGCTAATGGATTATCTCTCAATATGGGTGGCCGATAAAACAACCCTTGAAGAAGACATGATGTCGAAACACACATTGCCACAGAATGCTGTACATATAAAAATTAGAAATCGTTGATGAAAATGATGGGGGTGCATGGGGATAGGGTAGGTCAACCCAAAAAAATCAGCGGTCTAGGTATTAGGAAAGCTAAGGAAAATAATGAGGCTCTTATCACGAAGCTAGGATGGGGTTTATTAGCACAACCGGATAAACTTGGGTGCAGATTTTGAAAGGAAAGTATGTTTGAGTATTTAGCAGCGTTAATAATGCACTGCTGACTGAAGAAGGTCTGAAGACCGGAAAGAAGAATTCATTTTTTACTCAATACTCCTTTCGGTTCTAATTACCTCTCTGTTGTTGTAAATTCAGATATCTGGTTCCAGCTGATTTAACTGTGGGTCAGTTTGTGTATGTTGTCCGAAAAAGGATCAAGCTTAGTCCTGAAAAGGCTATATTTGTTTTTGTAAAGAACACTCTGCCTCCCACTGGTGAGTAGTACTCTGTAATATTCAAGTTGGAAGCCTTCTGTGAGTTATGTTGGTAATTTTCCTTTCCTTTTTGCAGCTACATTGATGTCTGTACTCTACGAGGAAAACAAGGATGAAGATGGTTTTCTTTACATGACATACAGCGGGGAGAATACCTTTGGATTTCACTAGATTGTGTCGTCAATATGTGTAAATGAATCCTGGAAGATGTATATTACTAGTATTCAACATAAGCTCTGGCTTTTCTATCTTTAGTTTTGAGTTATGCCATTGGGTGTATAATGGAAGTTATATGATCTATGAAATGAAATGGAATGGATGGCATGGCATCATTGCACATATAATGAAAATTGAATGGATGAATAGATTAAATTTGTTAGTGCTGCTTTTTCACTTTGCTTTATGTTTTCTTGTTTTCTTGTCCTAGTTGCTTTGGAAGCATATCTTTTTTCAAGATTGTTTGATCTTTTGCTTGGTGTTCAAGGATACAAAGTGAAACTTGTTCTTGATTCCCCTCGAAGCAATAACAGGTGCAGAACAACTTATAAACATGGTGTTCAAATCATCAAGCACTCATGTTACCAGCAGAAGAGGATAACCTCATACGATACAAAAATAAAAAAATAAATAATCAAAGCTTTCCTATTAAATAAACATGAAAGGATGAAAAGAGAGAGAAAACCGAGTTGATTTGTTTAATCAGAATGGGGAAATTTTATATAAAATAATATTTTAAAAAAATATGAAATTCAACAATGTATGAAATTATATATATATATATATATATATATATAATTTAAAAAAAAACTAAAAAAAAAATGGGTCAACATAATAATTTCATAGAAAGGAAAAGGAAAAACATTAAGAAAATCAGTCCTACAAATTTAATATTGAAAGATAAAATTAAAAAAATAAAATAAAAACTTAAAAAACATAAGGTAACAAAGGTAATTTTTAAAATTGTAATATAAGTTATGATTCCGTGATTACTTTATAAAAGACAAATAGAAAAAAAATAATGAAACTTAATTAATAATTAATCTAATGATAACTGTTGAAATTAAAAATAAAATTTAATTAAAAAATATAAAATTAAATAAATAATAAAAGAATTAAAATTAAATTTGATACAAGAACAAAATAATAGGATATTTTGGTATTTTTTACATAATTTGTATGAAAATCCATGTGACGAGAGAGAAAATAAAGAGGAGAAGGAGAAAAAAAAAACAAGATGAAAAAAAAAAAGAACCTCCATATGTGACAACTCCATACACATATCGCACCAATTGTTAGGGCTTGCTGAGATGCATCCAACACCACCAAGAAAAGCAACATTCTGACATTGTAAGACGGTGCATGCTCCCACTTGATTGCAATGACATCTTTGATACACAATGCATGTGCTAGCCATTTTATCACTATCAATTGGCCTTAGTTCATGTAATTGTTTTAAGTTTATTTTTGATGTCTCAAGTTTTAATTGTTTTAGATTAATAAAATTGAGCTTTATTTTATGAAACAGAGCATAAATTACTTCAAAAATCTTTTTTAACATTGCAGAGGACAATCAAGAAACATTGTTAAGCTCAAATTTAAATAAATTTAATGTTAAAAAATTAAATTGAAAAAAAAAATGGCTGAAAAGACAAATGGGGCTGATCTTTTCCCTTGCCCTTGCAATTAATTCCCTATTCTTTCAAGATTAAAAAAAAAAAAGCTAGTTATTTATCTATTATTCAATTTTGATTTTCATTATCAATAAAGTTTAATTTAATATTTTCAAATCAGAACCTTTTTTTTCCTTGAAATCATAAGAACCCTACCGGAGGCAATTAAATCAAACTATCAAGTACAATCTGAATTTAAGCTAATTTAAAATGATGAAATCAAATAGCCAAATAAACTCTAGTGATGGGGAGAAAAAAAAAACTTGCGGCACTATCACAATCCATTGTAGTGTGAATAGTATTTCCAAAATGTTTTTTTATTTAATTGTAATTACCATAGTTTTCCAAAACTAGTGGTTGGTTGCATGGTCTGTGTTAAAGTTTTTTGGATGCTGCAATCGGGGAAACACATATGATGCTTGTATGGAATGCAAGATGTTGCTTGCTTTGGGTGCTGATCTTCTGTATTTTGTGAGCCAGCAAGCTTTCTAACAACCTCATAGAATGATAAACATGCAAAATACAAAAGAGGGAAGAAAAAGGAAGGATTAATAGCGGCCCAAAACATAATCTGCCGGAAATCATCTGCTGTTGCAAGTATAACATGAGGCCAATTTCTTTACATGTCATTCAGAAGATTATTTTTTCTGGCATTTACTTTTAACCCATTTGAAGCTGTTGGATGCTCCGCTTTTGAGCTTTTGAGCTCCAGACATAGCAGCTGCTTTGGCTTTGTTTAATCCCCCTTTGGCATCTACCTTCTTCTTGTTGCTGGTATGTTGCTTGGTCCCAGTGTAATTGTCATCTTCCATTGAACCAATACCTCCTGCACCCCATTGATCTGCCCAGCTTGGGGCCTCACTTGCCATTGTTTCTTCTTTTCCTTCAATAAATCCAAGAATACAAGAGCAAGGCCATTGATTAGTAACCTATATTGCATACATCGAAAGGAAAGCATAGATCCAAATGGCCCGTAAGAACAGGATAAGTAAAGGATCAAGAGAACTGGTCAAATTTGCAAGAACTTCAAGGTAAGCATTGAGAAAAGCCATTGTTCATTAATATGTAGCGTTTAAAGATAATATTCAAATGCATGGAGGGGACCTAAACCTTTGTCATTTTATGGAGGCAAAGGAACAGATCCAAACCATGAACATCTTATTCAATATTAAAAACAAAACACAATCAAAGAGAAGATGAAGATACTGCATATAATTAGGTGGGTGAAAGAGAAAGAGTAGGGTTTACCTGGTGGTGATAAGCTTTGGTGAGATAGAGAACCTTGATGGAAGAGTTGATGGAAAATGATTAAGTGCTCAAGAACCTTTAAGCTAATGAAAAAGAAGAAAGCCGCCTATTGAGAGGCTGTCTTTAACTCCATTCTATGCTTTAAAAAAAGAGACTTGCCAACTTACTTTTTCTTTCCTATCTTTGGCATCCAACCACCATTACATTTTAAAGCTGTTTCTTTCTAGACTTCCAGTTACCTCCACTTGCAAATTTTAAATGCTAAGTTCATGTATTCCATGTCACTTCCCCTTGGCTTTTACTTAAAGTTGTTAATCCTGATGTAATACGTAAGGTTAATATGAAAAACTTACCATTTAAATCTTAACTTGAGCCAAGTTTCAAGTTAAATCAAAAAATATATTGATTTGGTAAAATTACATGACCTAATTAACTCAAGTCTAAACTTGATTAAGTTAAAATCAAATTTTTTAATTAAAAAATAAAATAATATTGTTTTAATAAAAATAATTAATTCAAATTAATCTAATAACTTGATTTTTTTTTTTGAGTTAATCTTTGGATCAAGTTTGACCATTATAATTCTAAAAGTGAATATATATAACACATAATTAGACGTGCATTCATACACCCACATGCGTGAATACATAATTACATAGTGGTGTTTTCATTTTATTTAGACTTGTGTGCTCATTTTATCATGTTTAAACTTGTTAATTATTGTCGGGTTATAATTGGCAAATGGGAACTCACATAATAGATCCTCCATTGAAAGGAGACACTCTCTTTCTCTCTCTCTCTCTCTTTTTTTTTTTTTTTGCATTTCCTCTTTCTTTTTTTCTTTTCTTTTTTGTTTCTTTTTTTCTCATTTTTTTCCTTCAAGATTTACTTGATTTTAAATTTATGTTCATAAATTATTTTGATTTTTTTTAATATAAAGTTATCATAAACTCAAATAAACATTCTAATTTTTTATTTGTACTTAATTTTATGAGCATTTACTTTTGTTATTGTATAATTAAATAGAACAAAGTTTAAAAAACAAGATTCTAAAATTCAATTGTCCATCATTAAGATATCCAATATATTAACATCTCAATATTAAAAAATAAATATCATCTTGAGTTATTTTCTTTTAAAGTCAAACTATATTTTTTATCAATTATTCGAATTATTTTTGAACTAGTTAAATTAACTAGATCATGTCATGACAACTTTTACATGATTTAATTTAAACTCGAGTTAGATAAGAAGTCAGGTTGAAAGATTTTGAGATTCACCCTTTAAGCCGAGTTTAGTAACAATATCAATAATTTTTTTATAACTTGAACATTTTTTATGTTAAAAAATCTTTGATTCGAGTTGATGCATAGTGTGATATTGTAAACTAGTTTTAATTATAAATTATGCCAACTTTTTTGTTTATTTTGTGCTTCAATTAATCTATTAAGATTTTTAACATTTCTCATGTGTTAATCTTCTTTTTCTATGTGTTCAAGAAATGCTTCTCCTTGTTAACATCACTTATTATTTTGTATAATCGATCTCCTATAAATGGATTGTTCTTGTACCATTTAATTTGTCTTTAGTTCTTTGATGATGTTAAAAAGCATCTCCATAACATAATAATAAGAAAAACTAAGACAAAAATTAGTATACAAAAAGAAATTAACAAAATCTTTTACAATAATTTTGGCTATTGGCTATGATGATTAAGTTGCTACCTGGATGTAAGCCTTTTATTATTATTATTATTATCCATCCACTTCTATTTAATTATATAATGATCTAGTAGAAACATTTTATAAAACATTAAGATTCTCTCAGTTTAATAATTATTTTATAAAAAAATTACCTCTATTTGTAACAATTTTTACAATATGAAGACCAATTTTTCTAGTTAAATCTCAAAGATCATATATTTATAATTACTACAAGAATTTCTTATCGTTTTTTATTCATAAAAATTTCTCAAAAAAATTTATATTATTTTTCACTTACTTTCTTATAGGATAGGGATTTGCTTCCTACTTGTATCAAAATGACGTTTTTTAAAGAATAGGATTTTGCTTTTTACTTTTATGATTTTTATACTAAAATTATCATATAAAAATCTAGCAAATTATATAAAAGTGTGTGCATAATTTATTATTTTAGTTTTTTTTTATTAAGAGACTTAGATTCTCACCTTGTAAATTAAGAATATAATTAAAGAGACTCTTAAAATATGTAATTATTACTTAATTTAGAATTAAATGATTTGTAGAGATTTACCTACCTTGTAAAACTTTCTAACCTTTGGTTTGGAACCTATAAAAAGGTCAATGAGCTCGTTATTCTAATCGGGACTCAAGTTGTCTTTGTAGTGTTTTCACCGGAAGTAAGCCTCTTTTCCTTTGTTGATCCTTCTGTTAAATCCATTTCTAAGCACTTTCTTGGTATAGATTTAATAAAAAGGATGATCAAAGGAAAAGAGGCTTACCTCCAGGTGAAAACACTACAAATGCAGCTTCAGTTGACACTCAAATTCATAGTTTCAAAAGTATTTATGTTGCAAATATGTGTTTGTGCGAGCGCATGCGATTTTTCTAAACAAGCACACTGATCGATGAAGAAAATATCAAATGGTGAAGGATAAGTTCAAAGAAAATGAGAGCAAGGATTGATGATGGGACGATCTTGTTGAGGAGCTTAACTTTCATGAGAAAAAGTTCTATGGCGCTACACATGATCTTGTGCAAGAGATCGAGTCATGAAGAACATCACTACTGGAGCTCTTCTTCACATTCTGTGCAAATGAACAATCCCTTTACTTTTATTTGTAAATCGCAAAGAATTTTCTTCTTGGCTTTCCTTCTAGACGTGTGAAGTTTTAAATAAATATTTTTTGTATTTATGCTATGATCAATGGTATTCTTATTTAATTACCCCTAATCAATATATTTATCATCTTCATAGTATAATAATACAAAAAAACTAAGATTAGAGTTAAATTTTTGTCTTGTAAAAACAAAATTGATAAAATCCTTTACAATAATTTTGATTGTTGGCTGTGATAATTAAGAAACCATTTAATATTATGTTTAATATTATGGTAATTTTTGTTTTCTATCCAATCATGGAGAAAAAAACATTTGATTATGGTAATTTTTGCTGTCTATCCAATCATGGAGAAAAAACCACTTGATTAGTCAAATAGCCTATGCTTTTTGCAATGAGCCCCACATGTAATTGCGTTGCAATCCTTTATTTTGTAAAAGCTAAAATATCCTTTGTATTCATGGAGACTCGTTTTTTATTTATTTTGTATGCAAAAAAAATTTATAATAATTTTAATTAAATATATATTATTATTTTTGTTACTCATTTTTGGGATTCCACATAAACAAATAATAAAAATAAAAAAAGGTTGGGAAAAAAAAAAAAAAAAATATATCGGTGAGAAGAATATACTATAATGCCAAGAAAATTACTAAAAATTAATTAAGAAAGATCAAATATATATAAAAGATTAAAAAAAATACAGTGTACTTTTACTAATAAAAGCCCTATTAATAATAAAAAAATTCAATTTGATAAGAAAAATTAAAAAATAGATGTTTTTCACCTGTTTAAAGGGTGATATTATCTTCCCTTTTACGTAACCAGTCCCGAACTATAGAATCTCTGTTGACCAGTTAGGGTTCCTAGTGACCATAATACTAGGTGGCGACTCCTTAAACAAGATCATTCCCTCATCAAAGAATAGGACGCCAGAAATCCATTCTTTCCATTCCATTTAAATTATTTTTAAGGCCGCCGCGATGTCGGGTGCGACAATATATATATATATAAGGTTTTAAAAGTATAGTTATTAAACCCGATTCAGGGGTTGACCCAACCAATGAACCAAGTTTCGAGTTTTATGGGTCAATCCGGATCAACTCGAAAAAATTTAAAAACATATTTATAACTTTAATATTTCATATAAAAAAAATTAAGAAAAAATCTATGTAAATATAAGCTATACATATTATAAATAATGAAGCTGAAAAGAATATTTAAAATTTTTTTATCTCACATAAAAAGATATTATGTTAAGTTTCTAAATTAAAGTATTTAAACTCAAAAAAAATTTATTCGACATTGAAAAAATAATTTTTTTCTTGAAAACACATAGTATATATATTAATGGGTTTTAAATTCTATATTTAAAAAATATAATTTTTTTCATAGGAACATAAAGTATATATACAAAATAGCTTCAAATTTCACATTAAAAAAATATTATATTATCTCTTGAAGTTGAAGTATTTAAACCAAAAAGCTTTTTATATCACAATAAAAATAAAATAGTTTTTTTCTTGAGAATATAGATTATATGTATTGATGGGTTTCAAATATCACATTTAAACAAAAAGTCAAGTCTCATCCGGATTTATCCGAGTCGTCAAAGTTATGAGTTGACTCGGATAGATATAATTTATCATTATTTGTTATTTACTGATCTATTTTTTATTTATTAACTGAAAATAAAATAAAAAAACATCTTTTATTGTTTAGAACATTAGGTATACATTTACTATCTAAATCTCATGTGTCTATTATTGTTTTTTTTTTAATATATATTTCATACAAAAAAGAATCCCATAAGCATTATAAATTAAATAAAAATTATTTTAGGGATAAAAAATTATTTTGCGTGAAATATAAACCTCCCTTAAATGCAAAAAGGGGCCAGTAATAGCTGGCTGATGTGGTTCCCCTTACAGTGTGTGTATGGCATGGAAGAAAGTGAAATCAATTAGGGTTTGGTCTAAGCTAATGGAGACATGTTCCACTGTTGTGGGTTGCTGCTGCTTACGGTCACGACAAGGGGAAAATGCTTCGTTTTCACTTACCCTACTAATCATTTTCTATCAGCTTTCTCATGTTTACCTGGAAAACTTCTAAGCAGTCAGTTATTTTTATTTATTTTAATTTTAATTTGGAATTATTTTAATAAGAAAAGAAGATTGTCCAATGACAGTCCCCATCTGGAAATTAATATAGTCAACTGGATTGGTGATAGAGAGTGCCCAATTACAGAATGACAACTCATCCTCAATTCTCTTTTTTTCTGCCCTTGATTGTCTTCCTAACTGTTGGCCTTGCTCATTAGTCACACAACTAATAAAATTGCAGAGACTAGAAACAAGGCTATTTATATGGGATTTATCAACACTTATCAGGAGTCACCTGACCTGTTTATCAAATCTAATATTTTTATTATTTTTTTTAAAAAATGTTTTAATAAATATAAATATACTTAGCTAAGTTCCCGAAGGGCTTAATTCCGAGAGAAAAAAAGGAGCTTTCTCACAAATAACTTACCAATAGAGCGCTAAATGCTCCCGATCGAATTAAAGTCTCAATCTTGTCGAACATAATTCATGTTTACTTGAGGAATTATTATCATCACAATCATTAGCTTGCAGAAAGCAATTGTGTTTTCGGCTGTCAAGCCATATGATATATATATATATATATATATTAAGGTAATGCAAAATAAACAAATTAACAAACATTAATTCCAAGACTAAATATGATCCGGGCGTTTATGACTGGCTAACATTTAAGAAGATGCGTGGGATATGATCGAATTGATTAAAAAAACCAATAATTTTTAATTTAATTAATAGATAGTTTTAAAATTTTATTAGGAGATTCTATATTCCCACTCAGGTGAAATCTGAAAAGACTTTGAAATTAGACTTACAAGAAATTATTCGAGCTAGTTTTGATTTTTACTTTGAACTAGAATTTCTATCTGATATTTCTATTCAGTAAAATTAGTATATTGATTTTATTCGTAGAATACATGTATTTACGTATAATGTGTGTAGAATTCAGGACTGTAAAATTGTGTGCAGATCAACCATACTGTACGAAGAAAGTAGCTAGGAGGGCCCAAGAAGAGATCGGAAACTCTAAAGGCAAAAATGGCACATAGCTGGCTCGCGTGTAGAATTCAGGACTGTAAAACTGGGTGCAAATCAACCATACTGTACGAACAAAGTAGCAAGGAGGGCCCAAGAAGAGATCGGAAACTTTAAAGGCAAAAATGGCACATAGCTGGCTCTGGTCTTCCTTACAGTACCGTATGGTAAGGCATGAAATCCGTGAAGATTTTGGTGGAGGTTCATGCAGACAGGTTCGACTGTTGCTGGTTGCTTATGGTCACGACAAATAATTAAGGCATGCTTAGAGACTCTTCTTTTTTAATCATTTCAGGCCCAATGTGCTTCAAATCAAGAGTAGTTGAAGCTTTAAGCTTGTTCATTTGCTGTCCTCATCTCAGGATTAGTCATTTTAATTAACAGTTCGTTTAATTAACGCCACGATCAGTGTGGCCACGTTAACAAACACACATACTTAATTATCAAATTAAGTGATCGTTTACAAAACCTCATCCTTTCTCTCGTTGCCTCCTCCATTGTCTTGTTCATCTCTCATATGTTTGCCTTTAGAGACGATTATGGGTGTAGTTTATAGGTGAATAAGAAGGAAAAGATTTATCTCACTTTGATGATTTACAAAACAGTTTATACGTTTAGCATAATATAAATATTAACTTGGATCTTCATACTTTCAATTCACATTGCCCCCATGTTCTTTCAACTCCCATGTATGAAAGAGAGAAAGGGTTTGCCCTTATTAAAACCTTTGTGTGCATGCCTGGTTCATAGCCTAGCAATCTTGATAGGAAATGCATTTTAAGTTTGAATCTTTGTATATATAATCCTTGTAGTTTTTTATATGTTTGCTTAGACATACAGAATATTCAATAAATTTAAAAATTAAACATGATATGTATAAATTGACCTAAATATCTATATTTATAAAAGAAAGAGGGGGGCTCGTCGGCCAGTTTCGTTCTTCCTAAAAACTATAATATTCATATTCCACCCCTAAACTATCACAAGTCTAAAGGAAAAAAAAAAAATTAAAAAAAAAAGGAAAGCAACGGAGAGCTTCAAATGTTGTGAAAAAGGGGCATCTTTTATCATTAGATCATAATTTCAAAAGCTCAGTCATTCGGTCAAAAACAGTCCCTCTTATTTGAAAAATAAAAAATAAAAGTAAAAGGGAAGAAAAACTATTACTGTCAGGGAAAGAAAACATCCACAGACTCCTTCCTCTTCCAGCTCCCTGCTGTCTGTTGTCTGTCTCAGGCGTAAGCAAGAGAGCATCAAGAAAAGTCGAGCCAAAGACAAGATTCCGGGCACCTTCCCTCTCCCCTCTTTCACACTGTCTCCAATAAAACCATGCCACTCTCTTTCTAAAATATCTCGAACTCTGTGTGGCCAAGTTCTTCGGGTACGATTAAGGAGAAAATTTGTTCCTTTTTTTAATAGCATCAATACAATAAAGTTTTATAAGAAAACAATGAAAATATCAGAAAAGAAACATTCAAAAATATAAAATAATAATGAATTTAAAATTAATTTCAATACATAAATAATTTACTAGCTTGTGATTAGATTTAATTTCAATACATACAAATTAAATTAAAACAACACCTCAAATTCCCTCCTCATTATATATAAATTTAATTTTCCATCCAATTTGGGATGCATTTATGAAATTCTTTTTTGTTTTCTTTAGTTTTTTATTAATTTAGTAAGAGACAATTCTACCCTGCCCACAATCCTTCCCCTTGCCTCCATAACATTCTTTCACCAGTCAAAAAGAAGACAGAACACAGACACATGCTGTCTTCTTCCCTCCCCTTCTCTCATCCCTTTTCTCTCTAGCAAGACCAAAACTAGACGATGTCTAGATCCTCTTCAACGTCGTCGTCCTCCTCAGCAACGACACCGTCTCCTTCAATAAAACCCGAATCCTACTCTCACAGTCCAGTCCACTACGCCGTCATACTGGGCGACCACACAACCCTCACCCGCCTCCTCTCCACTCTCCCCAAACTCACTGATCCCACCAAAATCCACACCGAGTCAAACTCACTTAATCAAGAGCAACTCGCAGACAAAATCTCCTCTCTCGTCGACCGCCGTGATGTCCCTTACCGAGAAACGCCTCTCCACCTCGCTGTCCGCTTAAACGACCTCTTCTCCGCCAAATCCCTCGCAGCTGCTGGCGCTGACGTGTCATTGCAGAATTCCGCTGGTTGGAACCCTCTCCAGGAGGCATTATGTCGCAGGTACTCAGAAATCGCTCTCGTTCTCCTCCGCCTCCACCACCGCTCCGCCTGGTCCAAGTGGCGCCGCCGCTTGCCTCGCCTCACTGCCGTGCTCCGCCGCATGCGTGACTTCTACATGGAAATCTCCTTCCACTTTGAAAGCTCAGTCATTCCTTTCGTGAACAAACTCGCTCCATCTGACACGTACAAGATTTGGAAACGTGATGCTAATCTCCGTGCCGATACTACGTTAGCTGGATTCGACGGCTTGAAAATCCAGCGGGCCGATCAAAGCTTCCTCTTCCTCGGCGATGGCGACCAAAGTCACTCCATTCCTCCTGGTTCTCTCTTAGTTCTCAACCACGATGAGCGTAAAATCTTTGACGCATTCGAATCCGCCGGAGCGGCAATGAGCGAGTCCGACATCGCCGGATTCTGCTCCCAAACTAGCGTTTACCGTCCCGGCATGGATGTCACTAAAGCCGAATTAATAAGCCGAACGAACTGGAGACGCCAAGAGAAAACAGAATCTGTTGGCGTATGGAACGCTAAAGTTTACGAATTAAACAACGTCGTTTTTAGCTTCCGATCTCGGAAAGTAATCGAAAGCGACGTCGCAGGAAGCGAACAGGTCTTACCATTAGAGCTTGACGAAGATGATGACGGCTTCTTAGTAGCTGAAAATCCTAGCTTTCTCAATTTCGAGTTTAACAATGGAAATGAGAGTAAAAGGAGGCACAGTAGTTTTGTGAGGGAGGAGAGGGAGTTTGTGAGCGTAGGGAGGAAGAGTGTGGATATTTATCCGTCGTCTACGGTTACGGGGAGGAGGAGAGTGGTGGCGGTGCCGGAAAAGGTAAAGGAGAAAGAGTATGTGAAGAGTTTGAAGCCGTCAGTTTGGCTAACGGAACAGTTTCCGTTAAAGATTGAGGAGTTATTGCCGTTACTTGATATTTTGGCGAATAAAGTGAAAGCCGTTAGGAGGATGCGTGAACTGCTGACTACAAAGTTTCCGGCGGGCACGTTTCCGGTTAAGGTAAATTAATTAGTTAATTAATTGCGTGTTTAGATTGTGATTTTTGGATTAGCGTTTTGTGTGTCGTTTTGGGTTCTGCTTGACTGTTGGATTCTGTCGTTTCACTGGTATTTAAATTTCTGTTAGACTTTCGTGCAGTGCCGTGGTTCAAAGCTACGGAGATTTGTGGACCCATCATGCAAGTAATTTTAGTGGGGTCTTTTGTTTTGTGTTTTTCTTTTTTTCTTTTTTATTCATTTGATGTCTGATGTGTGAGATTAAATAAACTCGGAAAAGGATTATTCTGGTAATTAGATAATAATCATATGTTTCAAATTATATTATAAAAACGATCAATGAACTTGCGCATCAACTCTGGAGATGGGCTGCCTTGTTGTTCTGTTGATTACTGTGTGGTGTTGTCGTTCAAACCTATAGAGACTTGTTGACTTATGTTTTATTACTGTGGTCATTATTGATTGATCGTACCAGGTTAATTCTAAATTGATTTTAAACTTAATTCTAGATATTCAATCCTAAATTATTTTTTTTATAATTTTCGAATCTGGTTAGGGGTTGAGTATAGTACCGGTTCCAAGTCGGACCCGACATGGGATTCGTGGGACCCATTTTGTGTTTTTGATACAAGCTAGGGAGAAGAAAAGGGATGGGTGCGATTAGTGGGGAAGAAACTTTTGTGGGGAATGTAAGGTGGGGTAGGAGGCTTTCAATGGTCGGTGATGTGACGTGGGATACTGTGATCCGTTTGTGACCTGATCGACGAAGATGGTGTATGGGACCCAAAAGATCCGATGTTTTCCTTTTCTTGGCAAGCAGGGAATGGAGCGGAGGCCAAAGGGTACCACATGTTTGCTCCCTTCTGGCTCTGATTTCTTTTCTTGACTAAAAACAATAGTACCGCCCTGATTCTGCCACGTCTGACATGGCAAGATCAAGGGCTTGATGAAGTGCTTGAGAAATTTCAGATGCTTGACGGGGAACAAGTTTTATTGATTTGATTTGGTGAATTATAAATGTGTTAACAATGGTAGTGGTGGTTGGTGTTTTGGTGGATGCAGGTGGCGATTCCGGTGGTCCCAACGGTGAGGGTGGTGATAACCTTCACTAAGTTTGTTGAGCTACCACCTGTTGAACAATTCTACACTCCACTTTCTAGTCCAAGACTTTTTGGTGGTCATGAAGGAAGTAGAGTAGGATCATCAGATGAATCAGACAAACATTATCCATCATTGTCATCGTCCTCCTCAACGTCGTCGACCACATGGTTACAGCGAAACAGCAGCCAATCGACGAGCAAGCAGCACCGGCATAGTTCTTCAGTATGGGGGCAGCAGCAGCTACAAAGTGACCCTTTTGCGATACCAAGTGGATATACATGGGCAAGTGTTGATGATCAGAAGTCGACCAAAATGAAGAAATCCAAGTCCACAAGGAAATCCAAGTAAAGATGGCTCCTATGGGGCAAAGGCAAATGAGGGATTGAATTAGGGCTAACGGAGTTAGGAGATTGGTTGGTGGTGATTAATTAATTACTTCCATGGATCTTTGAACTTGCAAATATATATAATGTAGATATCTCAATGTTATTTAATTATATGCATTGAGCCTTTGTTGTGTGGTTTATGACAGTTTTTGACAACATTATGATTAGAAGATTAACTAATTAATTACTACAAGTTTAGGTTTTTGTCCCAAATCTTGTTGATTTTCATTGCTTTTTTGAATTAGATCATGTTGTCTTACCATCAATTTCATAACCTTGAGCTAAGGCCAAGCTGTAAGTGATGCTAGTTGGCTTCAATTTTTTTTAGTTTCTCTGTTTTCTGCTCATACTAGAATATCCATGAAATTCACTTAAAACGTGGCGGGAATTTGATGATGAGGGTTGAAAAACAGTGGGACGTTCTTACATCATGACAACAGCAGTAAACATGAAAGCAATAGCAATTGCTTGATTTGCAACAACAAAAAAAAAGGGGGGGGGGGGGGGGGGGGCGGGAGAAGGAGG